AAAAAAGTGAAGTTTGACAAAAGAAGCGTTCTGGCATGAACAAGTAAAATTAATTACATTTGAAGTGCAAACCAGAGTTTGAAATTTTGCTCAAAATTCATTACTAACACGTAAATGCTCATTTAACCTTTTTCTAATATTAACTATTTTTAGAGGACCCTAAAAACCCGAAAAAGCAATGGGGGAACCTATAAAAAATCGCTAGTATTAAAAAATTTAAAGATAAACAGCTGGATGTTATTATTGGAAGCCTTCTGAAGAGAAACAGAGTTTTTCGATCGAAAAATATTGATTTTCACCAAATGTATACCATTTCTGCGAAAAGTGGATTTCTGCCCGTTTAAAATACATGAAAAATCTTAAACGCTTTGAGCGACCTCTAAATATTTTTTGATTTCAGATTAAAAAATTAGAGGCATAATTTTTTTCGGTAAAGAACAATCCTAGGGGACGAGAGCATCAACATTCGGAGTAGACTTTTTTTACATGCATTTTTGAACCATCCTAGTGAGTATACTATGAGTATTAACGGAAATTCATTATTTGCCATTCTCTAGCTGTTGTTTTCATGCACAAATCCTCAAATTCTACGCATGCGAAAGGTTCTACTTGCTTAAATACTACTTACTTATTATTTTTGTTTTGGCTATTGTCTGGATTCAAAAGGCAACAAGAGTCTCATAGATACATCAATGTATGTGTATCTGTATTAATAATAGAAAATTCATACGCATACACACTTCTTGGGCTATGCCTTTCGGTGTACGATATTAGGTTCATGCACATATATAGCCAATTTGAGCCACCAGGTATGAAAGTAATCCATATCCATCTTTGTTTGTCGGCAGGTAATGCAGCCGCGCCAAAGTTAATGAACTGTTTTATAATTGACTATTTTTGAATTTTGAGAATTATCGGAATTCCTCGCACCTTGACCTTGTAGCGAATTCATGTACAAGATGGCGATACCCCTTTAACCTAGAATGGCCGATAAACATAATATTGGCCAAGAAAATAAGTATTTTCAATAGATAGCGTGGAACTAGAATATCACGCGAATTAGATGCGTTTCTTTAAGTGGGAATGCGAATGACAGGTATAAAGTGTTTTTCATTCCATGGGAGAACTTCCTAGTAATCCAGTTTCCAAAACTAAGCTCTGTCAATGCTATCTGAAAGTTCCTAAATGATCAACCAGATTTTTTTCTGAAACTGGTGTATTTTATGGGAACTCGGTATAGTTCTCCATTGTACTTAAGGCATAGAGAATGGTTTAAGAGGATAAGCTAAAATTGGTGGGTGTGAGAAATCGTTACTCTTCTGCAAATTTACCAGGCCCATTTATCAATCTCAATGGTTTACCGAGAGATAGAATACGAACCAAAAATGCACCATCTCAGTCTGCCGATGACCGGACAGCTGCAGAGAAAATGCTTTACTACACAATATCGTCATCGTCCAAAGTAAATATATACAGCAGGCCGTGATACCCGTAGTGACCATATCGACTGCGAAAGTTGCTTACGAAAAGTCCGACGAATCCGATGTATATTCAGAAATCAAATGGCGACTGGACGTCATCTCGTGCGGAAATGCTTGAAGTCCTAACTGGCGCGCACTCTCCAGGATGTACTGTGGAATCTAGCGCCCCGGTTATTACCTTTGAACGGCCGTTGGCTTCAGCGGAGTTCATTGATGTAAAGAGGGTAGATTGGGCCATAAAGTCCTTCAGCATCTAGCCTTTTAAGTCCGATACCTCTCTTAATCTATAAGGCTTTGCTTTTACCTTAGATTCATACCCAAGGTTTGGATCCTGGCGAAAGTTGTGTTCATTCTCAAGGAGGTAGACGCCCACGTGAAGCCGAGCGTCTTTCGATCGCCAAGCCTCGCTTATTTCTTTCTCAAGGTTCTGGAAAGGCTTCTAGATTCGCAGATCCGATGGGAAATTGATGCTAATAAGCTCTCTAGCTATCAACATGCCTATTGGAGAGGTATAACAGTGCGTAAGGAATTTGCATGTTCCCACATATCGAAGGTGCCTTCAATAATGTTATCCCGTAGGTTGTTCTCCAAGTCCTAACTCTCTTTGGGCTGGATCACCCTCTGGTCGATTTTGTTCATCGACTTTTAGGCAATAGAGCTATATATTCGGAGGTGGGAGAGGTATCCTAACAAAATATGCAAACCTCGGCACTCCCCAAGGCGGTGTTCTTTCCCCACTCCTTTGGAATCTAAAGATGAATACTCTACTGTACAGGTTGCCAGCTCAAAGCTTACGTGGATCATCTTACCCTGACGGCAGTTGGTAAGCACCCGCCACTTCTACGTGAGTTGCTTCAAGGCGACTTACGTGTCGTGGACACCTGGCCCAAAGAAGCAGGCCTTAGTGTCAATCCGGCAATAAACCTGCATGATTCCTTTTTTCAAAGAAAACAAAAACTGTCCGGCTGCAGCTTCCTTGAAAAGCATTGCACTGACTCTTTCAGAAAGAGTTAGATATCTGTGCGTTATTTTTGACAGAAAGTTAACTTGGCGGGGCAATATAGAAAAGCGTTGCAAGAATGCTATAACTGCCATATATGGGAAAAATGGGGTTTAAAGCCTCACATTGTAAACTTGTTGTACGTTCCATTCTGTTCTGTTCTCTTTTGTTCTTTACCAGCGACGCCGACTAAAGCCCTAGAGACCTTGCTTTACTTTCTATATGGTAGACTATAGCCAAGCGGTAATGCCATTCTACTAAACGCGCTGATCGAATGGAGTGACACGAGATTAGCTCAATCTAGAATTTTTGGACATCTTCCAGTAAACTTTAGCGGCCTGGAATACACAGTCCCGCCTATTGGACTAAAGAATCAATTCTAGATAAGGATTCTCTCAAGGAGTAAATGGTAGGATGGTTCAGTCCTGATCTCGTATTCTGACTCAGCAGCCATCTTCACTGATCCAAGTTTGATCTAAATGATCTGGCAAGGTCACTAATGATATACCGGGAAACTGTGTTGCATTGTTGCAGATGAACTAGCAATGAAAGGAGCCTTGGGTTTTGCACTCAGTACAGCGTGTAACGCGGGAATTCCGCTATCTTCTTGCAAACTCTGGTTAGAGAATAACTTTATCAAATGGGAAAATATAAGATGGCCTGCGGAGCCTACTTGCAGGATAGCAAGCTTATCTGGCCTAGTTGGATAACTATAGATCTCGGCCTCTGCTCCGCTTGTAGCGACTCCTACTCCGACATGTAATTGGAGTTCTCACAGGGCACTGCCTGATGGTAACCCTCGCAGATAGAATGGGTTTGCAGTCAAACGACTAGAGCCGTAGCTGCCGTTATGAAGAAATCGAAAGCGTGGAGCACTACCTAAGCCACTGTCCCATATTAGAGTCCACTACCAAACATCAAAAGAGAGCTGAGAGTATACTGCCCTGATGGCATCCTCTTGTGGTCAAATGCCATATTACTACTCCATAGTCACTTCTTCAGTCTTCTAGATAATATGGAGGGCAGCCAGCTTACGATTGTTTTGTCCACTCTTAGTATCAGCGAAGATTCCCATTGGGTATCTTCTACTTCTAGCCTTACTTCGATGTCGGTCAGAAGGTCTCGTGGATTTGATTCAAACTATTTTTCACTATAATAAGTATGTTCGTGAGTACTAAGTGGACTGTCAACTTTGCTCTAATGTACTTACGACCCTGGGTTCCAGGCTCTTCAGTCTGGTTGGCCTGAAGGTTTTTGTTGGCGCATAATCGTCCTTACTATTTGTTTTTCCGAGATAAGATTTGAGGCACCTTCCACATTTTTTTTTCTTGCCGTAAGAGGTGCTGGTACCAAACTTTACGTTTCCAAGTACAAATGTAGCGTATGTTCATGATACTCATATTTTACTTTAGAAGTATTGTGTACATATATAATCAAACTATTGGTTAAGCAACTTAAGAATCTTGAAAATTTAAATTATCTAAAAAAATTTCATAAGCTTCAGTTGTCATGGCAACAGTAGCTTTTTATAAAAATCCCAATATTTTTGCAGGGTTTCACAGCGATCCAGTAGTTATAGTAGAAAATTGAAAGTTAGTACAGTACAGTACAGTATCAAAAGGAAAAAACTAAAGGGATGCTTAGTTTTCTATGACTATATTACCATAGAGTCTACCCATAACATAGGCAATGCAAGGTAACAGAGTTAAACATTAGCTTTGGTATAATCTCTTTAGTTTATTTTAGATTTACATATTTCAAATCCATTGTTCCCTACTTTTGGCAGATAAAGTTGTACTGGGAAGTACAATCCTGATTGGCCCACAAAATATCGGTGGTGTTAGTTTGTAGCAACAAGCAGTTATTGCCGCTAGCTGTTGGTTGATTGGTAGCCCAGTTAGTAAGAGAGAATTTCTCGCCACCAACGCCCCAGGTCCAAGTTTCTTGATCGGCCAAGCGATTGCCAGCAGCCCAGTAGTTGTATTTGGTGAGACCTGTAAGGAGGGAAGAAATTATTGCAGCCGATGTATATAAATTTGTGAAATAAAATGGCCTTAAAGTTCAAAAATACCAAACAATTCCACAAATCCTTTCAATTCAATTTCTGCTGAAAAGTTGCTAGGCGATACCAGATCCCAGCCGTTCGAATAGCAGAAGTAATTGGCAGAAAACCAGGAAACCTTCGAGGAAATTTGGGAAAAATAAAGGATTTTGTTGAAAAATATAAATTAAAATGTGGTTTCCCTACAGTTATGTTTACCTGATTTTGGCTGACATAGTAATTGGCATTTTCCTGTAGGTTGCCACGCCAGTCGAATTCAATAGTTCCAGTCTCCTGATTTAGCGGTGTGGCCTGGCTGAAGGCAATCAGCACTGCAAGCGAAAGTGCGAATTTAGTGGCGAACTGCTGCATTTTTTATGATTTATTGACAAAATTAAATTTATAACTGATTTTCATTGAACATTTTCGTGCTTTTTATAAGAATTAAATTTTTGGTAATTTCATACTTTTGCTGCTTTGTTTTTTGTAAGTATAACAAAAATGATGAATGGCTATGAATTGTTTGTGAACATGTATGTATGTATGTATGTATATTTTTTATAGTAGATTCTATGCGCGCGTGCATTAATTGACGTGGGGAATTACTTAGTTCGAAACAAAGTGATCCATAAATTTATTTTATCTTATCTTTGCTAAACTAATGAAATCGGGTAGCATTTGGCACTGCATTTTTGGACTTCACTGTCAATGTTTTTGAATTGTGTAGCCCAAGATAATATTCGTATATTTGTACTTACGAATATGTATACTACATAGTTTTCCCGCACCCGCTTCGCTGAGTGTATGAAATTTCTGCGTGTTACTCTTCAGAATATTTTCAAATAAATACCTTCTTAAAGTCTTTTCCCAGGTGGCAACCCTTTTGAAAATATTTCCGAAATAAAGCCTTTTCAAACTTTTTTAAATAAATTTAATGTCACTTTTTAAACACACGGTAACCCGCTTCAATCGTTCTTTATGTTCAAATAATTTGTGTACAAGTTGATTAAATGGGACTTCTTAAACAGGTGGTAACCCTCTTCAAAGGTAGATTCAAGCCAACATCTTCTTAAGTATCCTTTGACTGATATTGTGATACATATTTTAATTAACTAATGAATTAAGTTGAATTAGATTTTTTAAACATGTGGCAACACTGCTAAATATAGTTCAGAAATAAAGCCTTTACAAACCCATTTCGATTGATACCAATATTTTAGTAATTGAGTTAACTTATTAAATAATTTAACTCTTAAAACGGGTGGCGACCCTCTTTGTGCAATCAAAAATATTCATAAAGTTGAAAACTAAAGATTTCTTAACACTCTTTCGTTTGTCATATTTTAATATATCATTGTATTAACTAAAATTGACTTTTCAAACAGGTGGTAACCCTCTTCAAAATATTTTCAAACTACAACCTACTGAAATCTCTTTCGTTTGACATCCATATTGGGATACATATGTATTTCAATTACCTAATTCCCCTAATTCAATTTGAATTTGACTTTTTAAACAGGCGGCAACCTTCTAAATGTAGTTTAGAAAATATACTTTTTAAAATCATTTCCACTGATAGCTACAAAATATTAATTCGTTTAATTAACTTAATCATTTGAACTTAATTTTATGAACAGGTGGCAACCCTCTTCAAGATGTTTTTAATCTGTCATCTTCTTTAACCGACCTACACATGTATATAGATATGTTCATTAGGGAGGTCCACCAAATTTAAAGATTTTGAACAAATTTTTGGGGGTCGCTACTGGGATTTGAAAAAAAATTGTTTTCTCAAAATTTTTACAAAGTTTGACTTTGAACAGCTATAGTTCTGTGAGTTTTTTAGTTTAACTTTATGAATAAGTTCCAATTATATGTCAAAAATATGTCAAAATTTTCAGATTTCAAGTAAAGATTTTTTTCGATTAAAAAAATAACTAATTATTATAAAAGCCTGAGACTCCTAAAAATTTGTTTAAAACTTTCAAATTTTTTTGGATGTCTTTATTTTGTACGTAGAACGAAATAAAGGGGTGCGTGCCACAAGCAAAATTTAGATCTTGATATTTTTGAGAAACACCCTAATGTTTGTAGGTATGTAAGTACATACACATGTACATACACATTTATCTCATGGAATGGATGGGAATGGTAATAGTAACGGTACTGGTAATGGTAATAGCACTGGTACTGGTGCTGGTAATGGTAACGGCGCGGGTACTGGTAATGGTAATAGTAATGGTTATGGTAATGGCAATGTTAATGGTAAAGGTAGTTTTCGAACGTGACTTAAAAAACCCTTTAATTAAATGATCGCGATTAGAAATAAGTTAACTCATTTCCCAGCTCATTGAAAAATACAGTAGCCAGTAGCCCCCTAAACAGATATAAAAAAAAACAAGATCGAAAGCTACATTTTCATTTGCACGCAAACTTCGTGGTGGCAACATTATTGATATTTTAATATTAAAGAACAAATTGATGCGGTTTCTATTGCAATATTTGTTATTATGTAGTTGGATATAAAATAGCATCTTTTCTAAAATATTTAAGCGATTAAATCCGGCAAAATACTTGTTAGAAGACGTCTTACAAATGCTTATTTCAAGATATAAAAAGCCCACACACAAATATTGCCACTGACATAGCTTATATCTAGCAATCAAAATGACAGCTGGACAGCATTAAACTTTATCCTTTGGATACGGCTAGTAATGAAACCAACGTGGTAGCATTTTATTTTCTCTTTCGATTTCATCTTCAACTATTCCCACATTTCCTACAGGGTTCTTACCCAAAATATCGAGCATTTTACATTCTACGAAAGAGCATCGTCATCCAAGTCATCAGTTAGCTGTCGCCTGTTCAAACTTGCAGTGCAACATCGTCTTTAGCGACATGTATATCTGACCGTTACAAATGTTGCTCAACATTTGTTGCGCAAAAGTGCCAGCAATAAAATGCGCAAGGCAAATAAACAAAAACAACCGTATACGCAAAGATTAACGTCTGATTGCCCTTGTAAATGCACAACAAAAGCCAAAACAAACCACACACACACACAAACAATAAAACATACATAGATACAATCCACCACATGCGCGTTCCATCTCAATTCATTCGCAAGAGCAAGCAAACCAACAAAAAAGGAAAAAATACAGAAACATTGACTGGCTCACTGACTTTCCGGTTGGAGATGCAACAAGCGTTTTCCGTCGCCCGCAAGCCACCAATCCATGTTGGTGAAGTGCAGTCGTCCTCACACACACATGCAGATGCATTCCACAAACTAGAGTGCACTTCTTTGATGCCATATGAACAAAATGGGTTTGAAACACATTTCCAAGCAAGCGTGAATTGTATCCGATAGATACAAACAGCCGAATGTTGCGCTATCGCCATCG